GGAATAAGAGATCCTCCGGAAAAGGGCTTTATTCCGGAGGATCGCGCCAGTCTAGACGCTCTTTTCCGGCTTTTCCCGAAGCCGGAAAAAAAGCGGCGGCCATGTTTATTTAAATCCTGCGGGGGATATTTAAATCCCCCACGGATTTCCCTATTCTGACTTGCCTGCTTTGCATGCCTCTTCCAGAGAAGGGGCCAGTCTAGACGTAGCCTACGTGCCAGAAGCTGGGAGTGGACAACAAGGCTCTCAGTGATTGCCTGTTCTGTTCATTCCCTCTGGGGCACCTGGCATTGGTTGCAGTTGGAAGACAGGATTAGATGAACTATTGGTCTGACCGCATATGCACCTTCTAATTTCTGGAATCCATGGAAGGAGAAACTGAGCACACTTGTTACGCGACAGCCTGCCATTGGAGGGCACGGTAGCCTTTTCACAGCTAAGAGTCTAATTAATTCAGCTATATACCAGGCCAATGAAAAAACGTTCATGGACCGCCTCCTTATTGAGACATGATAAAAAAGAGCAGCCAAGGAGCATTTTGGTTCGAAATTTATTTCTTACTAACAGATTTTTGGTGTCTGCCAACGCCGTGTGACTTTGGACAATGTTCCTGTGGACCACCAAAAAAGTCACTGTGGACCGCCAGTGGTCCATGGACCACCAGTTGAGAACCACAGCCATAGGAGGAAGCAGCTCCAAGAATACCAAAGACCATTCCTGACATGTGTTTATATAACCTATTCTTAAAACCTCCAGTGAGTGACTGGGATTTCATAACCTCCCAAAGTAAACTGTTCCACTGCTTAACTCTCCTAAAAGCTTTTCCTAATATCTAACCTGAATTGCCATTGCTGTGAACTTAAACGATGCTTTCTTGTCCTGCACTTGTCAGTGGACAGGGAGAACAATGTAGCACTGTCCTCTTCATAAAACCTTTTTACAATTTTGAAGCTTTATCAGTTCCCCCCTCAACATTCCCCTTCTCTAAACTAAACATCCAAATTCTTTCAACCTTTCCTCATACATCATGTTTTCTAAATCTGTTATGTTTGTTGCTCTTTCTGTAGCCCATAGTTAGCTTTGGCATCATATAGCAGTAATGCAAAGAACCTCAGGCCTGTATCTTGCAAGACTTTGGCATAGATAAATGGCCTCCTGGTCACCCCTAAGTTTTGGGGACTTGGAAATAGAGTGTGGAAGGGGGAAGTTTCTGCACAATGACCCAGCCAGCTGCATGAACATGAGCTAATGCCAGCTATTGGACAGAACATCCACACATGTCTAATCATAAGAGTGCCATGGCAACGAATTGATGTATATGAGGAGGGCACTGCAACATTAGTAGGATGAGGAAATACAACTAGGAACAGGAAAGGAATCCCTACTAAATATACATTAGGCCTTGTGACATCAGTGTAACACATTATAAAAGTTGTATTCCATCCTGTGGGCAGAGAGCAATGTAGCCCTTGGGAGGTGCCAGAATGAAGGCCACTGGTGATGATGAGGAAGGTGTTGGTAAGCAGGAAGATAATGGCAAGCATTTCAGGTTATCCTGCAAGGGTTGGTGTGAGTCTATGGATTGTTCAGATGTACATTCCATATTATCTTGATTTACCTTGCTTGCTGGTTAGAGTGTTTGTGACTTTGTTAAATATATCAGTGAACTCTGGTGAGTACAAAAGGATCCCTGAACTATGAGTTTAACAATTGTGCACATCAGGGCTCCCAAGTAAACAGTCATTTAAATAATACTGGAGCTGATATTGGGACAACAACCTACTAAACCTCAGAGTGATTACTGAGAGTTCTTAAGTAATCAGTATACATTAATACATAATCCATAGATCGGGCTGCATCTCCTCTGGACTCTCTCCAATTTGTCCACAAGCTTCTTAAAGTGTGGTGCCCTCTAGCACTGAGTGCATAGAACAATTATTTCTCATGTCTTACATATGAATCCCATTACTACATTTCATAATTACATTTGTTTTTCTTTGCAGCTTAACATTGTTGATTAATTAAATTTGTGATCTGCTATAAAGCCCAGATCCTTTGCTGCAGTACTGCTGCCTAGTCAGTTATTCCCCATAATGTACTTGTGAATTGGATTTTTCCTAAGTGTAGTATTTTGTACTTTTTTGAATTTCATCCTGTTTTAATTAGATCAATTATCCAATTTGTCAAGGTCTTTTTAAATTCTAATTCTGTCTTCTAAATTGCTTGCATTCACTCATCTTGGGATTATCTGCACATTTTATAAACATACTCTCCTCTCCATTTTCAAACTTAATAAAAACGTTGAATGGTACTGGACTCAGGACTGACCCATAAAGGGCCCCACTAAAGAAGTACTCTCATGTAATGGTGAACCATTGATATTTACTTTTGGATGATGGTCTTTCAATCAGTTATGCACCTACTTTATAGCAATTTTATCTAGATCACATTTTCTTAGTTTGATTATGAGAATGTCACATGGGACTTTGTCAAAAGCCTTACTAAAATCTAGACATATAAGATCTACTGCTTTCTACCCACCCACACAGTCGAAGTAAAATAGCGGGGCCAAAGTCTCACATGATATTCTCATAACCAAGCCAGCGAAAGTACTAATTATTACTAAAAAAATTGCTGCCAATAATCACTAACTCAGTTACCTTGTCAAAGAGGGAACCATCATTGATCTGAACAAATCCATCTTAGCTATTACTTATAACCTTTGGTTTTTTAACAATTTGTTCTAATAGCTTTTCAGGTAGTGAAGTGAGGCTGACTGATTATTCCTTGTGTTGTCATCTTCTTGTTTTTGAAGCTGGCTTCCAATACTATAGTGTTTGAGTGCCTCACAGCCTTTAATGCGTTTATCCTCACAACGCTCTGTATAGAAGTGCTTTCCCCCCACATTTTAAAGATGGCAAAAGGATACATAAGAGACTAAATAATTTATCCCCGGTCACACAAAAAGTCTGTAGTGGAGCAGAGCTGAAACTGAGTCTCCTAAGTCCCAGGCTAGTTATCTCTAATCGTTATGTTCCTTGTGAAACATGACTAACTTCATGAGTATGTTCTTGCACCAGTTTATTATAGCAGTTGTTGGTAAGTTGCAGCTAAAATTAAAGTTGCAAAGCAGTTTCCATTATAAACTCTTGTTTTCATATGCTCATAACTTTAGGGACATTTGCCTTTTGGACTAAAATTTTCCATGTGTGGTGCTGCTCAAAGGGCATTTCCCCCGGTTGGTTACTTTAATGGCTGGGGTATCCCTGGCCGTTGAAAATCCAACATGAAGGATCTGGGAGAGGAAATCTTGGTGAGGAGTCCCTAGTGGTGATTCCCCCACATTGTCCCCCAGGTTTCCTTTCATGGAGATGGATTCCATGCCACCACGCACTGTCTCTCCAAGTGAAAGGTTTCTTGAAAGTTTTAGCTAAACTCTTTCAGCTGTTTTTGCATTAGAGGGCAGTACAAAAAATATGTATTTGCCTTATAAAAATATCTAACCACTATTTTTATATACCAAGTTGTAGCAAAAGAGGATGATACTGCACATTGTAGAGATGATGAGAATATAGAGATGATCCTCATGTTGTAGAACTAGTGCCTTTCCTTGATTTGAAAAGATCTGGTTTTGATTTAGCAAGTGTTGTGCATGTGCAGTAAAAACTAAACAAGTCTGCAAGTCTAGAGGTACATAGTAAAACCTAGAGGACCAGTGCATGCATATACAGCTAGTAATGGCCTCTATTCCTCAAAACATTTGCTTGACTCCAAGCATGTGAGTAGTGCCATTGAAATTAATGGGATTTAAGCTAAAACACACATGACTTTATGTGGGCTAATGAGGATTTTGCCTATTCTATTCTAGTTCTTACACAACCCTCTTCACCATCATATCTGAGTGTCCTGCCACAGTGCTTTATGCAACATGACTAGTCTCAGTCTTGTGTGGTTCTGCAGGCACCTGAATGAGGACGGCAGGATCAGTTCCATCATCAATGTAATTTAACACAATCATTTCAAATCTTCATCTTCTGAGATCTTTCATCAACCAGGTAAGAAATGGAGCAGTGCAATACAACCTCAGGGAAAGGGGGCACCTCTGATGTCACATGCCTGATCCTAAGTAGCTCTTGCAAAATGGAAAGTGGAACAGTTGTTGACCACATCCTGCAAAGAGAAGTCTCCTCATAGTATGGGAAGTCTACTGATAGTATCCCTACTAGTGCAGCTATACCAGCAGTGGGCAAGTACTGGCCCGTGGGCCAGATCGAGTTCACAAGGGTTAGCTTCTGGCAGGCTGCTGTTGTATTTATTGCAGCTTCACAGATACAGGTGATTGCAGATCCTGTTGGCTGCAGATTGCCATTCCCAGCCAATGGGAGGTGCAGGAAGCAGTGTTCCAGTCCAACCAAGGGGAGCTGCAAGCACCCGTAATCGCAGAGGTGTAGGTAAATACAGCGGTGGTGGCCCACCAGGGGCTAAACCCTGAAAAACCTCTGTCATTTTATTGCTCACCCCTGAGGTACACTGTGACTGACCACAGTCTGAAGGACCAGTATTTCCTGTAAGCTGAGTGTTTGGGTGGCTACCCAGGAGAGATTCAGATGTCACTCAGCCAATTAGCACATGCCTTGACACATAACAAAATTTATTCTGCACATGGATGGAAAAATTGGAACACTTGTCTGGACCTATTTAAAAATATCTTTAGCTCAAGCTGAAGTTGCAGACTTGTTGCAGGAATTAGTGATTAATATCCTATGACATGTGTTATGCATAAGGTCAGATTATATGATCTTAATGGGCCTCTCTGGCCTTAAATCTATTAATGTACTTTGGCTGCAAGAAAAGGTGGAATTAAGGTTAATTTGAATCCATTGACTAATAAAGAGCCCTCAGTTGTATCTAGTGAGTAATTGTATGGAGATATTCCATAACTCCTAATATATGTAACAAGCATTCCAGTCACATAAACTATACTGAATTAATGTAGAATCAAACATACCCCAGTTTACGTAATGAGACAGAAATCTAGAGTGGCCTTGTGCACCTAATTTCTCTATTGTGTCTTTTCTTACACCCAGTGGATCATTTTTATCTGAGTTTATTGTTGTGTGTGTGTGTGAGAGAGAGAGAAAAGAGAGGAATGTTAGAGGTAACTCTGTAAACAGACAATCTATAGAAGGGAGGGGCCGAGACCCAAGAGATCAACAAACTGGCTTAGCGCGCATGAGACCCTCAGTGAGATGAGCCAATGACAACCAAATATGTGATGCAGAATTCTTATGCAAACCTGAGGTGCTCTACCTTTGTTTGTGTGCTACTGACAGAGTCATACAGGGTGTGTGTATGTGTATGTGTGTGAGGATATGAGTGCCACACTGGGATAGGCCTTTGAGAAAAAGGAGGACATTCTAAACACGTTCATCTTTTCAGGACCAGTGGGCTTTTCATGTTTTTGTGACTTAGCAACATATTACAGTGAACAGTTCAGCAGTGACTGCACAGCAATGTCTGTGTTCTCTGAGTGCTTGGTGGGCACAGAGCTATTTAATACATATTCACAGCTTGTTACAATGAATCTTTGAGGTCAAAGCCAAGTCATAGCTGTTTGTGCACTTGCACAAGAGCGATTTTTTTGGAAGGGAGGAGAATGTAGATGGGGGAGAAGCCTCCTATTATCTCTGAAGTCAAGTGGGGCTTAGTGATTGATTGCAATGGAAGCAGGACTGAGCTCTACATGAAGCCCATCCAGTGTCTAACCATACTTTTAAGTCAATGGACCTATCCTCCATGAATTTATCGAATTCCCTTTTTAAACCCTGTTAAAGTCCTGGTCTTCACAACATTCTCTGGCCAAGAGTTCCACAGGTTGACTGTGCGCTGCATGAAGAGAAACTTCCTTTTGTTTATTTTAAACCTGCTATCTATGACCCCTAGTTTGTATGTTATGTTCGTATGTTACTTTTCCTTATTCACTTTCTCCACACCACTCATGATTTTATAGACCTCTATCATATCCCCCCTCCCTTTAGTCTGCTCTTTTCTAAGATGAAAAGTCCAAGTCTTTTTAATCTCCCTTCTTATGGGACCCGTTCCAAACCCCTAATCATTTTTGTTGCCCTTTTCTGAATCTTTTCCAATGCCAATATAACTTTTTTGAGATAAGGTGACCACATCTGTATGCAGAATTCAAGATGTGGGCGTACCATAGATTTATACAGAGTAATAAGATTGTCTTATTCTCTATCCCTTTTTAAATGATTCCTAAAGATTCCAAGGATGAGGTCATGACTCTGCTTCCCTTCCTTAGTGACCAAGAGAGCCAAGCTGGCATTGAGGTAGCATGCACACTATGCACTGTAAAGCTATGTCTACACTACAGAGAGGATCAAAACAGCTGCTGTCAATCTTCCAGGGTTCGAATTAGTGGTCTAGTTAAGACAGCTAATTCAAACTGAGAGGGGCACTGCTGTCGATGCCAGTAGTTCTGCTTTTATGAGCAAGGGAAGTTGAAGGACAGTGTGCTCCCATCGACCTCTCGCTGGGTAGATAGAGCCAAAAGCCAAGTTAAGCTATTTTGACTTAAGCTATGCAACGAACGTAGCTGAAGTTGCGTATCTTAATTCGAACTTATCCCCTAGTGTAGACCAGACCTAAGAGTGGCACGGCTCACACTGTGATCTGCACTCACACGCAGCTGCAGAGGGACAATGTAGTAAGTTCTCCAGAGGCAATGGGCTTCTGACTCATGACACCAAGTGCTGGGGCTCACAAGCTCAGTGGTATAAAAGCTTTAACTCCAGCTGAGCCCAATAAGTGACAGGAGGCCTGGTATTCACTATGTGTCCTAAAATGCAAACTGATGCTGTTTCTTTCACCTTTGGTGCTATTGATAAACTTCCATCTGCTTCTTCCTTTTCTCATCCTGCCCACACTGCATAATGCAACAGCAAATGGGATTTTCCATCAGGGATTTCTCCTGCCTATTACATTCTTTTTTGCTCCTGTTTTTATTTGATTAATACGGTCATATACAGACACACACACCTGGGCCATTGATACAATTGCCTTATTTTTTTATCCTTGTCACTATGGTTTTGGTACTGATTACACAATAGTTGGTATAAACTGAGGTTAAAGTCCTTTTCAGATAAAAAGACGCCAGTTTCCCTTTCTACACAAAAATCTTCGGGATGAGAAATCTACTACAAAAATTCTGAGATTCACAGAGACACTTATTATGGGAGGAAAGATGGTTTTGTCTTGTGCTAGATTGATGCTCAGAAGATCTGTGTTCAGTTCATAGCTCTGCTATGGACATCTTGTACAACCTTGGGCAAGCCCCCCTGTGCCCTCTGCTGAAAAATGGGGAGAATATTTCTTCCCAACCTCAGCTCTTGTCTCTTTAGCCTGCACATTCACTGGTGCGAGAAAATCTCTCTTGTGGGTATTTTCTGTGTGTAACATAATGATGCTACCATATTACAAACAACCGCAGCCTTCAAAGAGGAGAAAGTGGTGAGCCCCTGGAGCAAAGGGGACATGTCTTGAAAATTCTGCGGTTTCATGGGAGAAGCAGAGCACGCTTTACTCCCGAGGGGATTGTGTGCCACTATCCACGTGTAGAACTCATGTCCACTGTAGATTTCTTTGCTTTCTACAGAAAATGCCTTTGTGATGGGAAACCAAATGGAAGCTGATAAAGCGACTATGTGTCCTTCCCCAGCAGCACAGGCATGTTGTTTTGAGTGCCTTGAACAGCTGGCAGAGAACAAAATCACTGACGGGGCAGGGCTGGTAGCCCCCCAGCCAGTGGCTCCTACCTTGCACCAGGTTCAGCTGCTAGTCACAAGTGGGCTGGGGGCAGAGGAGGATGGGGCTTCCTCTTCCCTTGTACAGAGCAGCCAGGGCCAGGCTGGGTCAGACACATACCCAGAACCCTTCTCCTGTTTCACATGCACGCATTCCCAGTTCCTGCCCTCATTGGTCCTCAGCCGTGGAGGGAGGGGTCATTGTACAGGAAACTGCTTCCCTGTATGCCTAAACCTCATGCATTTGTTCCCCCCCAGCATCGAGCCTCATACCTCCTGTATCTGGACCACCCTGATGAGCCCTCTCCTTTGGGCTCCCACCCCACTGGACCCCAACTAACTGCATTCAGACACTCCCCCACCAACATCTATTCTCCCAGTACCTGTCCCCTGTATCCAGATGCCTCCTGCTAAGCTCCAATCACATTCACCTGGGCCCTCCTGCAGAGTCCAACTCCCCTTGCACATGGAACCCCCAAGAAGTCCTTGTGCATCCAGACCACCAGTGCATCTAGACCTCCAGTGCACCCAGGCTCAGGGCTGTCTTTAGGCATATGCAGCGTACACAGATGCGTAGGGCAGTGCCCTGTGCTGTGCATGCCTAGGGTCATGGCCAGCTGCAGGGAGTGGCAGCTTTGACAGCTCCAATCCCATGGCTCCCCACCCCTTGCTCCATTTCTCGGCCTGCAGCTCTGACCAGCCAGACCACTCAGTTCACTG